AAGAAAAGATTTGTGTCAGATCTTCCCCCCGTGTCTGTCTTCCCCCACCCTTTAGTGTCTGAGCCTGAAATAGATTGGTCGCTTCCCCCCCCCCCCCCCTCCCTTTTAGTGTCTGAGCCTGAAATAGATTGGCCGCTCCCCCCCCCCCTTTAGTGTCTGAGCCTGAAATAGATTGGCCGCTCACCCCCCCCCCCCCCCTTTAGTGTCTGAGCCTGAAATGGATTGGTCGCTCCCCCCCCCCTTTAGTGTCTGAGCCTGAAATAGATTTGTCCCTTCCCCCCCCTAGTGTCTGAGCCTGTAATAGATTGATCGCTCCCCCCCCCCCTTTAGTGTCTGAGCCTGAAATAGATTGGTCGCTCCCCCCCCCCCCTTTAGTGTCTGAGCCTGAAATAGATTGGTCGCTCCCCCCCCCCCCCCTTTAGTGTCTGAGCCTGAAATAGATTGGTCGCTCCCCCCCCTTTAGTGTCTGAGCCTGAAATAGATTGGTCGCTCCCCCCCCCCCCTTTAGTGTCTGAGCCTGAAATAAATTGGTCGCTCACCCCCCCCCCCCTTTAGTGTCTGAGCCTGAAATAGATTGATCGCTCCCCCCCCCCTTTAGTGTCTGAGCCTGAAATAGATTGGTCGCTCCCCCCCCCCCCCCTTTAGTGTCTGAGCCTGAAATAGATTGGTCGCTCCCCCCCCCTTTAGTGTCTGAGCCTGAAATAGATTGGTCGCTCACCCCCCCCCCCCCTCAGTGTCTGAGCCTGAAATAGATTGGTCGCTCCCCCCCCCCCCCCTTTAGTGTCTGAGCCTGAAATAGATTGGTCGCTCACCCCCCCCCCCCCCTAGTGTCTGAGCCTGAAATAGATTTGTCCCTTCCCCCCCCCCCTTTTGTGTCTGAGCCTGAAATAGATTGGTCACTCCCCCCCCCCCCCCCCACTCCCTTTAGTGTCTGAGCCTGAAATAGATTGGTCACTCCCCCCCCCCACTCCCTTTAGTGTCTGAGCCTGAAATAGATTGGTCGCTCCCCCCCCCTTTTGTGTCTGAGCCTGAAATAGATTGGTCACTCCCCCCCCCCCTTTAGTGTCTGAGCCTGAAATAGATTGGTCGCCCCAACCACCCCCCCCCTTTAGTGTCTGAGCCTGAAATAGATTGGTCAGTCCCCCCCACTCCCTTTAGTGTCTGAGCCTGAAATAGATTGGTCACTCCCCCCCACTCCCTTTAGTGTCTGAGCCTGAAATAGATTTGTCGCTCCCCCCCCCCCTTTTGTGTCTGAGCCTGAAATAGATTGGTCGCTCCAACCCCCCCCCCCCCCCCTTTAGTGTCTGAGCCTGAAATAGATTGGTCAGTCCCCCCCCCACTCCCTTTAGTGTCTGAGCCTAAAATAGATTGGTCACTCCCCCCCCACTCCCTTTAGTGTCTGAGCCTGAAATAGATTGGTCGCTCCCCCCCCCCCTTTAGTGTCTGAGCCTGAAATAGATTGGTCGCTCCAACCCCCCCCCCCCCCTTTTAGTGTCTGAGCCTGAAATAGATTGGTCAGTCCCCCCCCCCCACTCCCTTTAGTGTCTGAGCCTAAAATAGATTGGTCACTCCCCCCCCCCCACTCCTTTAGTGTCTGAGCCTGAAATAGATTGGTCGCTCCCCCCCCCCCCCCTTAGTGTCTGAGCCTGAAATAGATTGGTCGCTCCCCCCCCCCCCCCCTTAGTGTCTGAGCCTGAAATAGATTGGTCACCCCCACCCCACCCCCCCTTTAGTGTCTGAGCCTGAAATAGATTGGTCGCCCCCCCCCCCCCCCTGTGTCTGTATGAGTCTGACATATATTGCCCCCCCCCCCCCCCTCGTATCAGTCTGAGCCTGAAATAAAGTGGTCGCTCCCCCCCCCCCCCTTTAGTGTCTGAACCTGACATAGATTTGTACCTCCCCCTGTGTCTGTCTGAGTCTGACATATATTGCCCCCCCCCCTCCTCGTGTCAGTCTGAGCCTGAAATAAATTGGTCGCCGAGGAACATCGTGAGCGGGAATACCCGGACACTATTTAAATCTTGAAACATGATAGGTCAGATAGTTGATATCTTCTTCTCTTTAGCTTGTCTGTCTCTAGATTGTATGTCTGCTTGTTTCTAATACTTATATTTAACCTTAACATTTTTGTAGAACTTTCTATTTGTACATTATCTTAAATATATAAACTTGATTACAGCTATTTACTCTTATAAAACTTGATAATTCTATAGGCCTACTTGCATACAACCGTAGAGTTGAACGGCATCTCGACAATAATTGTATAAATCCTTATCCATATATTTAACCTGATACTTGAATATATCGTAAAGCATGTATTGAAATCTTTCTCTTGCTCCTTGTTAGAATTTAGGTAGATAAAATTTAAATGGTATCAACCTGATAGTTAATTATAACCTTGTGCGTATATTATAAGTTCTAGATCTATTTGTATATAACTTAATGCTTCTTTGTATTCTTTTACTAATGCCAAAACTCAACTAGTATATAGTCGGTTTTTTTTAGCTTATAAGTGTTAATGGTATAAGGTGACTGGATGTAACTAATTTTAGGGTTGTTGCTTCACTGTGAGGTTAAAACTGTTAAGTTCAAAGTTTTTAAGTAGGCCTAGACATTTCCAGCGTAGGCTAGCTTTCGAATGTCAGGGTTCTTTAAAAACCTGATTGGTGCATTTTCTGACGCCCCCATAGTATTTTCTGACGCCCCCATAGTATTTTCTGACGCCCCCACCGTATTTTCTGACGCCCCCATCGTATTTTCTGACGCCCCACCATATTTTCTGACGCCCCACCATATTTTCTGACGCCCCACCATATTTTCTGACGCCCCCATAGTATTTTCTGACGCCCCCACCGTATTTTCTGACGCCCCCATCGTATTTTCTGACGCCCCACCATATTTTCTGACGCCCCACCATATTTTCTGACGCCCCACCATATTTTCTGACGCCCCCATCGTATTTTCTGAGGCCCCCATTGTATTTTCTGACGCCCCACCGTATTTTCTGACGCCCCACCGTATTTTCTGACGCCCCACCGTATTTTCTGACGCCCCACCGTATTTTCTGACGCTCCCATCGTAGCTGTGACGATCTCATTATATTTCAAGTTCAAAGAACAAAGAGACTTATGTGTCTACTCTAATTATCTCTATATAAAAAATTAAATAAATGAGTATTTTTGCTAAGTTTCCAACAAACTCTCTTGTAAGTCATTGGCTCAGCTATCAACCAATTGTAATGTCTGCTTATAGTGAACATAACAGTAGGTCTGATGGAAATCAGATTTAGAATCTACTAAAGATACGTATAATACGTACGTGTATTAAATCTACTTGAATTAAAATCCAGTATATACACAAATACACATAGATCTTTGAATTGAAAATACGTGTATTTAAATGTAACCAAAAATAAGGAACATTTAGTCCAATAGTAGTAGCTGTGGCTGTCAAAAGATTGAACGGTCAGAGTCGGCGCCACGAGAGTATTTTGTTTACATGTGGTTGCCAAGGACACGCGGTTGATCATAAAACGTTTTGACGTGTTTTGACGTGTGAAATCGCGTGGAAGTTAACAAGTCAGACAAAAGGGGTGGATGGGAAAACAATCGTCGCTTGAAACTCTTTGAACTGTACATAAAATGTGCAGCGTCTGTGATTGTTACAGCGTTTCTTTCAGACATTTTTCTCAAGGACGGGAGCACTTGAAACTTTGGGGAGGGGACGGGTTTTGGTTTATATGCTTTGTGTATGGGAAGTACTTTTTTCTTTTTCGTCGGTTACAGAGAGTGGGGGGGGGGGGTAGGGTCCCCCAGTCTTACGAGATGACATGCGTTCGTTGTAGTTCATCGCATTTGATGTATTGAATCATACACGAGGGAGCGTTAGTTATTCGCTGGGTGCTACTGGACATGGGGCCAAGCTCAAACTAGATAGGTAGCCACTAACTCAAGTAGTAGCCACTAACTCAAGTAGTAGCCACTAACTCAAGTAGTAGTAACTCAAGTAGTAGCCACTAACTCAAGTAGTAGCCACTAACTCAAGTAGTAGCCACAAACTCAAGTAGTAGCCACTAACTCAAGTAGTAGTAACTCAAGTAGTAGCCACTAACTCAAGTAGTAGCCACTAACTCCAGTAGTAGTAACTCAAGTAGTAGCCACCAACTCAAGTTGTAGCCACTAACTCAAGTAGTAGCCACTAACTCAAGTAGTAGCCACTAACTCAAGTAGTAGTAACTCAAGTAGTAGCCACCAACTCAAGTTGTAGCCACTAACTCAAGTAGTAGCCACTAACTCCAGTAGTAGCCACTAACTCCAGTAGTAGCCACTAACTCAAGTAGTAGCCACCAACTCAAGTAGTAGCCACTAACTCAAGTAGTAGCCACTAACTCAAGTAGTAGCCACTAACTCAAGTAGTAGCCACTAACTCAAGTAGTAGTAACTCAAGTAGTAGCCACCAACTCAAGTTGTTGCCACTAACTCAAGTAGTAGCCACTAACTCAAGTAGTAGCCACTAACTCAAGTAGTAGTAACTCAAGTAGTAGCCACCAACTCAAGTTGTAGCCACTAACTCAAGTAGTAGCCACTAACTCCAGTAGTAGCCACTAACTCAAGTAGTAGCCACTAACTCAAGTAGTAGCCACTAACTCAAGTAGTAGCCACTAACTCAAGTAGTAGTAACTCAAGTAGTAGCCACCAACTCAAGTTGTAGCCACTAACTCAAGTAGTAGTAACTCAAGTAGTAGCCACTAACTCAAGTAGTAGTAACTCAAGTAGTAGCCACTAACTCAAGTAATAGCCACTAACTTGTAGCCGTTCACGCGTCAAATATAAAAAAAAAAACTAAAGCATAGGTCGCTACATAAAGAGGCAGCCACTGTTTCAAGAATCAAGAACATCTCAAATCGCCAAAATCTGCCCTAGGGTGTCAAGAGACAAAAAAAAATATATTATAAAAACTAAAAACTAAAATAGCAGCTAAATATATGTTTTTGTTTTCAGTTTCAGCAGGGGAGGCCATTGCTCGAGTAGAACTTTGCTGGAGAAAATTCTTGTCGTGCTGCTGGTTGCCGCCCTTGTCGCCTTTGTCATTACAGTTATCTCCCTGCTGATAGAAAAACATAACAAGTCGACGCCCGTTGGTCAAGGTACGTGTGCACTACTCACACTTAGGCCAGGCAAGTTTAGGGCTAGCAATTAGCTCAAGTTTAACGTGGGTTAAATTCTATAGTTTTGTTGATGTTGGTAGTAGATTCTGTGGTTTGTGTTGTCTGTGATGTGTAGTTTTCTGTACATCGTGATGTTAAGGATATGATTTCCCTAAATCGTGATGTTTATGATGTATGGTTTCCTGTAGATCGTGATGTTGATGATGTAACAAAAACCAGCTCTCGCATTTTATCGCCTGGCTTGTCACGAGATTTCCGCCCGGTGTTCACGAGTCACGTGACCTGGCCGAGTCTTGTTTGTTCCCCGTCCCATTAAAGTTTTATGGGGCGACATCTCGGTCAGTCCCTGTGGGGATTTAGCCAGTGGGGAGGTATAGACAACACAGTGGGGATTTAGCCAGTGGGGAGGTATAGACAACACAGTGGGGATTTAGCCAGTGGGGAGGTATAGACATCTGGGGATTTAGCCAGTGGGGAGGTATAGACAAAACAGTGGGGATTTAGCCAGTGGGGAGGTATAGACAACACAGTGGGGATTTAGCCAGTGGGGAGGTATAGACAACACAGTGGGGATTTAGCCAGTGGGGAGGTATAGACAACACAGTGGGGATTTAGCCAGTGGGGAGGTATAGACAACACAGTGGGAATTTAGCCAGTAGGGAGGTATAGACATCTGTGGATTTAGCCAGTGGGGAGGTATAGACAACACAGTGGGGATTTAGCCAGTGGGGAGGTATAGACAACACAGTGGAGATTTAGCCAGTGGGGAGGTATAGACAACACAGTAGGGATTTAGCCAGTGGGGAGGTATAGACAACACAGTGGGGATTTAGCCAGTAGGGAGGTATAGACATCTGTGGATTTAGCCAGTGGGGAGGTATAGACAACACAGTGGGGATTTAGCCAGTGGGGAGGTATAGACAACACAGTGGGGATTTAGCCAGTGGGGAGGTATAGACAACACAGTGGAGATTTAGCCAGTGGGGAGGTATAGACAACACAGTGGGGATTTAGCCAGTAGGGAGGTATAGACATCTGTGGATTTAGCCAGTGGGGAGGTATAGACAACACAGTGGGGATTTAGCCAGTGGGGAGGTACAGACAACACAGTGGGGATTTAGCCAGTGGGGAGGTATAGACAACACAGTGGGGATTTAGCCAGTGGGGAGGTATAGACATCACAGTGGGGATTTAGCCAGTGGGGAGGTATAGACATCTGGGGATTTAGCCAGTGGGGAGGTATAGACAACACAGTGGGGATTTAGCCAGTGGGGAGGTATAGACAACACAGTGGGGATTTAGCCAGTGGGGAGGTATAGACAACACAGTGGGGATTTAGCCAGTGGGGAGGTATAGACATCACAGTGGGGATTTAGCCAGTGGGGAGGTATAGACAACACAGTGGGGATTTAGCCAGTGGGGAGGTATAGACAACACAGTGGGGATTTAACCAGTGGGGAGGTATAGACAACACAGTGGGGATTTAGCCAGTGGGGAGGTATAGACAACACAGTGGGGATTTAGCCAGTGGGGAGGTATAGACAACACAGTGGGGATTTAGCCAGTGGGGAGGTATAGACAACACAGTGGGGATTTAGCCAGTGGGGAGGTATAGACATCACAGTGGGGATTTAGCCAGTGGGGAGGTATAGACAACACAGTGGGGATTTAGCCAGTGGGGAGGTATAGACAACACAGTGGGGATTTAGCCAGTGGTGAGATATAGACAACACAGTGGGGATTTAGCCAGTGGGGAGGTATAGACAAGACAGTGGGGATTTAGCCAGTAGGGAGGTATAGACAACACAGTGGGGATTTAGCCAGTGGGGAGGTATAGACAACACAGTGGGGATTTAGCCAGTGGGAAGGTATAGACAACACAGTGGGGATTTAGCCAGTGGGGAGGTATAGACATCACAGGGGGGATTTACCAGTAGGGAGGTATAGACAACACAGTGGGGATTTAGCCAGTGGGGAGGTATAGACAACACAGTGGGGATTTAGCCAGTGGGGAGGTATAGACAACACAGTGGGGATTTAGCCAGTAGGGAGGTATAGACATCTGTGGATTTAGCCAGTGGGGAGGTATAGACATCACAGGGGGGATTTACCAGTAGGGAGGTATAGACAACACAGTGGGGATTTAGCCAGTGGGGAGGTATAGACAACACAGTGGGGATTTAGCCAGTGGGGAGGTATAGACATCACAGTGGGGATTTAGCCAGTGGGGAGGTATAGACAACACAGTGGGGATTTAGCCAGTGGGGAGGTATAGACATCACAGGGGGGATTTACCAGTAGGGAGGTATAGACAACACAGTGGGGATTTAGCCAGTGGGGAGGTATAGACAACACAGTGGGGATTTAGCCAGTGGGGAGGTATAGACATCACAGTGGGGATTTAGCCAGTGGGGAGGTATAGACAACACAGTGGGGATTTAGCCAGTGGGGAGGTATAGACAACACAGTGGGGATTTAGCCAGTGGGGAGGTATAGACAACACAGTGGGGATTTAGCCAGTGGGGAGGTATAGACAACACAGTGGGGATTTAGCCAGTAGGGAGGTATAGACAACACAGTGGGGATTTAGCCAGTGGGGAGGTATAGACAACACAGTGGGGATTTAGCCAGTGGGGAGGTATAGACAACACAGTGGGGATTTAGCCAGTGGGGAGGTATAGACATCACAGGGGGGATTTACCAGTAGGGAGGTATAGACAACACAGTGGGGATTTAGCCAGTGGGGAGGTATAGACATCACAGTGGGGATTTCGCCAGTGGGGAGGTATAGACAACACAGTGGGGATTTAGCCAGTGGGGAGGTATAGACAACACAGTGGGGATTTAGCCAGTGGGGAGGTATAGACAACACAGTGGGGATTTAGCCAGTGGGGAGGTATAGACATCTGGGGCTTTAGCCAGTGGGGAGGTATAGACAACACAGTGGGGATTTAGCCAGTGGGGAGGTATAGACAACACAGTGGGGATTTAGCCAGTGGGGAGGTATAGACAACACAGTGGGGATTTAGCCAGTGGGGAGGTATAGACAACACAGTGGGGATTTAGCCAGTGGGGAGGTATAGACAACACAGTGGGGATTTAGCCAGTGGGAACGTGTAGACGTATAGACATCTGGGGATTTTGCCCGTTGATTAATTGACTTAACACAGCCGTGAAGGTCAACTTTGTTTATCTCACAGTTTGTTGGTTGTTTAACTTTTTAAATCTGTTGTACAACAATCCACTTTATCAATGATACTACAATGTTTTAACTGTAAAACTTAGTTTGTCTGTTATACAACAGTTTGTTAACTGTTTGACCCCCTTCTGTCGGTGTAGTTAAAATGATTACAGGGAGACAACTCGCAGATGTCTTGCCGGCGTTATCTTCCCATCTCGTTTTAAAGATGGCGCCCAGATTCACTATTTTCTTTTTTATAAAAACGTTTAAAATAATAAAAATAATTGTAAAAATTCTTTATTCTTTAAAATATGTTTGTAATACCGCCCTCTTCTAGCCTTCACTCCCTCTGATCAAAACGCTCTCAGACCGCCCCCCCCCCCCCCCCAATCTAATCCTCCTGAAGTTTAATCCTCTGGCGCCTATGATACGTTGAAACGTTCAAGTTTTGTAGAAAAGCGACGCCCTAGTTTTTTTGTCGTTGCTTGAAATAACGACGCTCGATTACTTTGCCTGAAATAGCAACGCGCTAAGTTATTTGCTTGTTGGAGAAATCCGTGCTCGCTAACATTGTCTGCCCATTTAACGTCTGTCGTCTGCTCGTAAAGCGTCTCTATTAACCTCTGTAATATTATCTGCCCATGTAACCTCTGTATTACTGTCTGCCCATGTAAAGTCTGTATTATAGTCTGCCCATGTAACCTCTGTAAATTGTAATATCGCTTGCCCATCTAACCGTTTGTATTATAGTCTTTAATATCGTCCTCCCATTTAACGTCTTTAATTTCGTCCTCCCATTTAACGTCTTTAATTTCGTCCTCCCATTTAACGTCTGCTTATCTTCCACAGGTATATGTGTCACTCGGGAATGTGTTCAAACAGGTAAGTTATTCCAGCACAACTGCGTTAATAGGAATAATTTTAAAGAGTGTTTTTTATTAAACGCACGTTAGGTATTGGGGCTTTACTAAGAGTCCAAAATGAGAGTAATTTTTTTTATTTTAAGACAGTTTAAAAAAAAAAAAAATTAGTCGAACTTCTATCGAACTTTTGAAGTTCTACCGAGTTATCGAACTTTTGAAGTTCTACCGAGTTATCGAACTTTTAAAGTTCTACCGAGTTATCGAACTTTTGAAGTTCTACCGAGTTATCGAACTTTTAAAGTTCTACCGAGTTATCGAACTTTTGAAGTTCTACCGAGTTATCGAACTTTTGAAGTTCTACCGAGTTATCGAACTTTTGAAGTTCTACCGAGTTATCGAACTTTTGAAATTGTACCGAGTTATCGAACTTTAGCTCTACAGAGTTATCAAACTTTTGAAATTCTATAGAGTTATCGATCTCTTAAAGTTCTTCCGAGTTTTCCAGCTCTTGAAGTTCTACCTAGATCTCAAAACGTCCTACCAAGTTGAGAAGTCTTTAAATAAACGCTTCTTCTCACTTTTTAAACTATCAGAAAGGTATAAACTAATAAAGACCATACATGTATAATAGTAAGTAGTAAAGTTCTCTTTCAAACCTGACTGTCTATAGGGCAAGTGAAGTAGAGGTCACTTGTTTCTGTGACCTCGGCATATGAAGAGATAGTGTGGTCAGCACTATGCCCAGCCGCCTTTACTTTCCCTAACGTGAGTTAGGTACCCGTCTGAGTTATACATGCATAATAATACAACCGAAATCTTTTGAGTTTAAACGTCAACAATTCTGGCAGATAAAATCCTGACGTCACTGCTTTGTTCCAGCTATGTGATTATAATGATAAGATTATACCATTTTTCTCTTTGTATGACATCTCAACATTGGTCTAACTTTTACGAGTTTTGCCGAGATCTCAATATTTCTAACGAACGCTGGAAAAGAACAGACTTCATTGATTAAAATCAATAATCCGATGATCAGATTCATATCACATGAGGAAATTAAAGCATAATGAGCATAATGAGCATAATGAGCCATTTAAAACTAAAGAGTATCAAGTTTGGAGCGATTCATGAATAAATCAATAACAAGATTTTTGTCTGTATGATCGGAAATACGATAACAAAAATTCATGATTTGAAGACATTTTAAATGCATGCATTTATATTTTTTACAAAAGAAATTACAAAGGTTTTTTTTTTGTTTAGAATTTTACGAAGTTTTGGGACATTCAGAGTTTAATTTGAAGGTTCGGATAAATTATATGTGTAAAATATGTTTTGTTTAGCTTCGTGTAAATGATGTGCGTCTAATATGTTTGGTTAAAACTAGAGATGATGACTAGCTACCCACAGTTTAAAGTTGTGTGTGTAAGAAGGAGGGGGTGTTAATGTGTGTCATATACATTAGTTTCTGCAAAATATATAAATGTATCTATTGGTACGAGGAATCCAAATCTATAATCCGATTTGAAATTTATTTCCTCGCTACAAATATAAAGAGCTTTATAAAGGCGTTAATTTTCAACTATTTCGTGGTTTCTGTGACAACCAGAACTGCTAAAGGCGAATTTACACTATTTGTACTTCTAATTTGCAAATTATTTACACATTGATTGATTAAATAACCTAAAACAGATTAAACTATTCTATTATCTTAATTAAGTTAAACGTTCATTAAAACTCAAATTAAATTAAAATTCTTCATTAAAATCATGTAACATGTTTAGTTTTAATTCTGACGAATGCATGTAATATGACCGACAGTATCTATTTTAATTACCGTTTTTTAATATTATTCTGCATTAGCTTTCAGACCATCTTATAATCAATGGACCTTAGTCTATTGATTTTTCAACTGTGTTGCTTCGAATTTTCTTTTAGATAAAAATCTCTCCTTAAAATCAAAGAAAACTTGCCACTTTCAATTTAAACGCAATTAAACCCTGCATCGATATTGTTTTAAAAAATGTTTAATCTTCTCTTGTGTAAACAAAAGGATTAGCTTTGAAGGTCGCTCTATAGCCAATGAAACGACGCGAAATTTTTTTTAGACGATCTGTGTGTGTAGCTTGGTTTTCTATAGAAACTTTGTTGTGGAAATAAATTTAGAAAACCAGTGGTTTATCGATCACTGGCGATCGATGGGATATTGTGAAATGATCGCGGATATTGATACGGCTGTTTCTCGTGTGTTGAGTGAGTTAGGTCACACTCTAGACCTGTTAGAGGTGCGTGTGGTGAGTTAGGTCACACTCTAGACCTGTTTGAGGTGCGTGTGGTGAGTGGGTTAGGTCACACTCTAGACCTGTTAGAGGTGCGTGTGGTGAGTGAGTTAGGTCACACTCTAGACCTGTTAGAGGTGCGTGTGGTGAGTGAGTTAGGTCACACTCTAGACCTGTTAGAGGTGCGTGTGGTGAGTGGGTTAGGTCACACTCTAGACCTGTTAGAGGTGCGTGTGGTGAGTGAGTTAGGTCACACTCTAGACCTGTTAGAGGTGCGTGTGGTGAGTGAGTTAGGTCACACTCTAGACCTGATAGAGGTGCGTGTGGTGAGTGGGTTAGGTCACACTCTAGACCTGTTAGAGGTGCGTGTGGTGAGTGAGTTAGGTCACACTCTAGACCTGTTAGAAGTGCGTGTGGTGAGTGGGTTAGGTCACACTCTAGACCTGTTAGAGGTGCGTGTGGTGAGTGAGTTAGGTCACACTCTAGACCTGTTGGAGGTGCGTGTGTTGAGTGAGTTAGGTCACACTCTAGACCTGTTGGAGGTGCGTGTGTTGAGTGAGTTAGGTCACACTCTAGACCTGTTGGAGGTGCGTGTGTTGAGTGAGTTAGGTCACACTCTAGACCTGTTAGAGGTGCGTGTGGTGAGTGGGTTAGGTCACACTCTTGACCTGTTTGAGGTGCGTGTGGTGAGTGAGTTAGGTCACACTCTAGGCCTGTTAGAGGCGCGTGTGGTGAGTGAGTTAGGTCACACCATAGACCTGTTAGAGGTGCGTGTGGTGAGTGGGTTAGGTCACACTCTAGACCTGTTAGAGGTGCGTGTGGTGAGTGGGTTAGGTCACACTCTAGACCTGTTAGAGGTGCGTGTGGTGAGTGGGTTAGGTCACACTCTAGACCTGTTAGAGGTGCGTGACGTCATTCAAAAGGAATTGATCATAGTTTGAGCTTTCATACCTAAATCAGAGGTGTTCGATTTATAAAAGAAGTATTTTACTTAAATCAAAACAGAGGGGATTTTCTCAAAGGTCATATAACTTACTAAAAAACGCATGACGCTAGGGACAATGCATGCGACTAAGTGAACACATATCTTTACTTGCTACGGAAACAGGTCAACACTGTTACGATCGATCTTTATTTCAACTCCAAACACGATTCAAGGCACTCTTCAAACCTTTATTTAACTTGGTTTTCTTCACCATTACACCACAAGCCCTCGTCCCTATACGCCACTAACAAAAGCCTCTCACAATCGTACACTTCAGCTTTTATACCCGCACACGACCTAACACCCCGGGGTTAACTGAACTCATACACGCCTCCCCCCCCCCCCCCCCTACGTTCTAGACTATTCTAACCTATTCTAATCTAACCTACAACTGACCCGTAACTTACACTACTTCACCTGCCTCGTTGATAGATTAATAAAGTCTGAAGCACATCGAATATGCTAAGGTGTATGGTTTACGGTGTTCTGAAGGTGTTAGTGACTATGGTGTTAACCATTGTCAAAGGTCGTTGTGAAAACTTTGAAAGTTCTCGTGAAAGCAATTGAGCAGTCATTGAAGCGTGTGGAGGTCGGCGTGGTCGGGTAGGTAAAGCTCATCGGTTTAAAACCGAAAAGTCTCGAGTTTGTAACCCCGGGCTTATGAGGGCTTATAGCAGAGGACAGCAACCCATCTAGGAGAGACAACTCCAAAATCAAACAACTGCTGTCTTGTCACTTTTTTCTTAGCTGGACAAACGCTATGAAAGCAAATCCAATAAGACAAGCAGGCTGAAAATAGAATCCAACGACCTGTCTAGCGCATAGCAGGTTGACACATAATACACGGACTTGTGTTGGAGGAAATCACGTCCAACATTACAATTAAGAATGAAACTTGTGGACACTACTGTTAGATTTGTCAAAAACACAATTTGACTTGTCAAAAACACAATTTGACTTGTCGAAAACACAATTTGACTTGTCAAAATATTGACTTCGACTTACATAAACAGTAACTTGATGTCTCGAAACTGCAACTTGACTTTACAATAACACATGTTGTCATACTTACAAAAGCAATCTCCAATCTACACTTTTATACTTAGTAACAAGTTTAAACTTATTATAATCTACAGCAAGATTATCAAGATGTAAAGTATAAACGAATGCCAATCATATCTTAAACTAATTACAAATTGGGGTACACATTTTAACTAATCACAAAAACTGGTACACATTTTAAACTAATCGCAAAAACTGTTAGGCCTACACATTTTAAACAAATCACAAAAACTGATACAAATATTAAACTTATCACTAACTCTGGTACACATTATAAGATGTAAACATAAACAAATGCCAATCATATTTCCCCCTTAGCGGCGCGGGTTGCGAGCTTCATAGACTTCGATGTGGACCCTTGCGACAACTTCTACCAGTTCGCCTGTGGTGATTGGATGAAAGATCACGTGATACCAGAGGACAAGTCCTACCTCAACATGTTCGGGATCCTGGAGGACCGGGTCGACATCATCGTTAAACGTAAGATCGTCGTCAGCCTCTCTCTTCTAGTCGTTACTCTCATCTGTTTGTTGTTGGTAGATAAAAATGTGTGCCCCGGTTGTCTGCCCATTGTTGTCTGTACATGTTCTATCAGTGATTGTCTGCCCCTTCAAGTATGTAGCCTACAAGTTTTAGCATTGATTATCTGCCCGTTGATGTTTAATACTCTATCAGTGATTGTCTGCCCTTTTAGGTATGTAGCCTACACGTTTTAGTATTGATTATGTATAACAATAAACATACATAAATGGGCAGATATTCACTGATAACACATAAAACATCAATCGATTATGTATGTTTATTGTTGTAAACGATTATGTTCCAATAGAAGTATGTACACCAATTTATTTCCATTGTATATGCTTTATCAGTGATTATCTGCCCCTGGATGTGTTATCACCACTTAACACCATAGATGACATGATTACCATTACATATCAACAATTTGAGCTTAGCTAGGATTAAAAGCTAATAAACTAATGATAAAAAATCAGTTGAATCTAACAGAAGACTACGTATGACTGCCTCGTAAAAATGAATGTTATACAAAAATCTTTTTAAAGCGAAGAAAAAATCGCCTAGTGTTTTCCCAGCAGTGATAACAAGACCTCTAATGGGACTAACAATTTTTTTCCAGGTTTGTTAGAAGAAGAGGTGCCTGAAGATATACCAAGTATCAAGAAGGCTAAGGATCTGTTCTATTCTTGCATGGACATGAGTATGTACTTCATCCATCATGTCGCTCAAAATTAGATACAATTACATTTGACATATTGTGTACATATATGAATAATATGTGTACATAGATACACATAAACCCACATTCATCCAAACCCACACACACTCAAGCAAGCACGCATACACACAACATATATATATATATATATATATATATATATATATATATATATATATATATATATAAAGAGAGAGAGAGAGAGTTAGAGAGAGAGATACCAATATACAAGAATAATAGGGTTCCATCTCCACCTTTAGTAAAACTGAGAAAATAGACTGAAAATTAGTATTGAATAAAAACAATCAAGTAAACGGAGCATTAACATAATCGATTAAATAGTTCATTTCTTAAAGCATGTTGGTAATATTTAAAAAGTAAATTAATTCACTGTTTGAAATTTTCGATGAAACTTCTAACACTGAAATTGTACATGGGCTTATACAGATAAAAAGCTCCAATGCTAAATGGAATTTTCTATTTTCAGAACAAATTAATGCACTCGGTGATAAACCTTTGAAGGAACTGCTGATCAAAAGCTTTGGCGGCTGGCCCTTGACTCACGCTGACTGGAAGGAAAGTGACTTTGACTTGGAGTCAACTATGGTGAAGCTCAACATGAACGGTCTCTTTGTGATTCTGCTCTTTGGTTCTTCCTACAACTACAAGAACTCGTCCAAATATTCACTCAATGTGCGTAGTCTGAGACTTGTGTTGGGTTTGTTCTGAGTGCAGAGTTTCTTCCAGGCATCTCTTCGGGGGTGGGGGGGGGGGGGGGGGTGATAGAAGACTACCCCCCCTCCCCCGAACGAAATGGAATGTATATAAAAAACATCTTTTTACCGCCCCCTCCCCCCCAAAAAAAAAACATTGACCGCCCCCCCCCCTCCCGAAAATATCAAGTGCCTTCCTCCCCCCCCCCTGAGAAAAAAGTTTGGAAGAAACACTGAGTGTGTTTAGTGAAAAATTAGTTGTTATGTGTGAATTGTTGAATTTTTTGTTTTAATACGATGGCGGCAATAAGCTGAATGTTGTAAAAAAAAAAAAGATGAAAATTGAAACAAGGGAGGTAACGAGAACAAGGGCGAGCACCGAGAGGATTGTTGGTGACAGATAGTGGTGGTAGAGGTGGTGGGGAGGGGGGAGAAGAAGGTGTTTTAAAGCAATTAATGGAACATTTTTATTTGACACGACATTTTTATCAAATTTTATTATGTCGTTCTATTTGATTTGTTCGAAACGTTTTTGAGGCACTAAACACCCCAGGGTAGAGTATACTTCACTTACTTGAATATCCCCCAGGGTAGAGTATACTTCACTTACTTGAATATCCCCCAGGGTAGTTTACTTCACTTACTTGAATATCCCCCAGGGTAGAGTATACTTCACTTACCTGAATATCCCCAGGGTAGAGTATACTTCACTTACTTGAATATCCCCCAGGGTAGAGTATACTTCACTTACCTGAATATCCCCAGGGTAGAGTATACTTCACTTACTTGAATATCCCCAGGGTAGAGTATACTTCACTTACCTGAATATCCCCCAGGGTAGAGTATACTTCACTTACTTGAATATCCCCAGGGTAGAGTATACTTCACTTACTTGAATATCCCCAGGGTAGAGTATACTTCACTTACTTGAATATCCCCAGGGTAGAGTATACTTCACTTACTTGAATATCCCCAGGGTAGAGTATACTTCACTTACTTGAATATCCCCAGGGTAGAGTATACTTCACTTACTTGAATATCCCCAGGGTAGAGTATACTTCACTTACCTGAATATCCCCCAGGGTAGAGTATACTTCACTTACTTGAATATCCCCAGGGTAGAGTATACTTCACTTACCTGAATATCCCCCAGGGTAGAGTATACTTCACTTACCTGAATATCCCCAGGGTAGAGTATACTTCACTTACTTGAATATCCCCCAGGGTAGAGTATACTTCACTTACTTGAATATCCCCCAGGGTAGTTTACTTCACTTACTTGAATATCCCCCAGGGTAGTTTACTTCACTTACTTGAATATCCCCCAGGGTAGAGTATACTTCACTTACTTGAGTATCCCCCAGGGTAGAGTATCCTTCACTTACTTGAATATCCCCCAGGGTAGTTTACTTCACTTACTTCAATATAACCGCTAGCTTAGGTAGTTAGTACTTTCCCGTTTCATTCCAACTACAGTAACACTGAGAATACGAGCACAAAAGTATCATTTAAAATAAAAAAGTTAAAGAGATAGCTATTTGATTTAGTTCCTGGACATTCGTAGCTATACGTTGATTTTAATCGACTGGTTACATGAAAGTCTTAGCAAATTGAAGCGGTTTTGTTAAACGTTATTTAGTTATTTACACAGGCTCTAACATTTGCGTACTAAACTTGTCTGAACATTTCTCAAGTTTCTCTCATCACTTTGAAGAGGGCGGTAAATAATGCGAGTCGTAAATGTGAGAATTGGTTTCAAGCTTTAAAAAAAGCCAGGTTTTGTTCAGTGTAAAATGTATTTTAGTTGAGTACAAATCGGTTTTGTTAAGTGTTAAAAAAAATGTTTGTTTTTTGTTAAGAGAGAAAAGCACTTTTCGTTGAGAGAACAAAGCACTGTCTTCAAGTGGAAAAAACGTTTTTGTTAAGGGTAAAACAACTTTATGTTGAGAGTAAAGTAAGCGGGAGACAACCTCCGTATACTTTCTAGTACATTACATTTTTAAATAGAAAAAAATTGTGTAGACAAAAAAAAAGAACTGAACACCAAAATGAACGTAAACAATGTGTGTATAATAGAGCGGAAAATTAGTGCATTATAAAAGAAACATTGATTTTTTAAAAGTTAAATAAACATCAAAGTCAGTCTAATTTTATGTCACAACGCATCGTCATTGACGTGAAATTTTTTGAAGACATCGGTCCGATATCTGAAATCGGTTACCGTAAATCATTCAAAATTTCAAACAAAACTATAAATCTAAATATATATATATATATATATATATATATATATATATATATATATATATATATAATTCTCTACGTGGGGACCATACAAGGGGCAGGAGGAAGGGAAGAGAGAGTAGTGTCGACTTCACAAATTATGAATTACTGAAAAGTAGCAAATAAAACAACTAAATAGCGGCGTATGCTTACGGCGCGGGTCAGCTCGTTTAATATAAAACCTATTATATCAATTTCCGTAAATATAACAGAAAGGTACTCAAGTTATCGTGTTTACAAACAAACACACAGACAAACAAATAAAATAGCAAAATTAAGTTTTTCCTACTTAGGGAAATGTACAGCGTCGGGATCTATCAAAATCTCGTATTTTTGCATGATTACAATACTCGCTCTACACCTCGTACAGGCAGTAGCGTAGCGAGGGGGGGGGGGGGGGGGGGGCGGGGGAGGGTCATATGTCCCCGGGCGCCGACCTTAGGGGGCGCCAAAATGCGTTGGAAAAATAAATTGAAAGGTTGAGGGGGGTGCAAATTGAAAGTTTGAGGGGGGTGCAAAGTAAACACTTGATGGGGGGGGGGGTGCAAATCGAAAGTTTGAGGGGGGTGCAAATCAAAATCTTGAGGGGGGGGGGGTGCAAATCAAAAAGTTTGTCCCCGGGCGCTTGATAGGGTCGCTACGCCTCTGCATACAGGAGAAAGTAAAACCCCACTTTGTCCTACCAGATTGACCAGCCGGTGATGTACGGGCTGCCAGGTGTGAAGTACTACCTGGTGGAGCGGAACGACACCAACCTGGCTTCATACGAGGACTACATCTACGGTGTCGGCAACTTGATGGGATTCGCTGACCCCAGGACTGCCAGGAAGGACATTGAAGCGCTCGTGGATTTCGAGATTCTCCTGGCCAATGTGGGTATTGTTTGCTTCATCAGATCTTTTGAAGACGATACTTTGCGGGACGATAGTTTGTGGGACGATAGTTTGTCAGACGATACTTTGTCAGACGATATTTTGTCAGACGATACTTTGTGGGACGATACTTTGTCAGATGATATTTTGTCAGACGATACTTTGTCAGACGATACTTTGTAAGACGATACTTTGTCCTGAGATATTTTGTGCTGAGATATTTTGTCCTGAGATATTTTGTGCTGAGATATTCTGTCCTGAGATATTTTGTGCTGAGATATTTTGTGCTGAGATATTTTGTGCTGAGATATTTTGTCCTGAGATATTTTGTCATGAAATATTTTGTCCTTGAGTTATTTTGTCATTGAGATATTTTATCTCTTGAGATATTTTGTCCTGGTATATTTATCTAGGTTATTTAGTCTAAGGCTGGTTTGTCAAGAAACATATTTTGTGCTCTTTATTTTAAAGCGTCACCTGAAACTGTTCATCTGTTCCAAGTTGTGTTAATTATGTAACTGCTGATCTAGGCTATAGATTACACGACTGTGAAAAGGCTGGACCGTCTGAATAATTAACGAAGGTCATTAGCCGCGCAGCAAAACTGCCAATCCAATACGAGCTAATAGATACCCATCACTTAAGCCAATTGGGATAGTCTATAAGGAAAAGTGAGCGCTACAAATCCTATTGTCACGGAGTTTGCTGGGCCTTGGCTTCAACAAGAGATCAAATGGGATTACAGGCACCATGAGGACTAATGACATTACAAGTGCAAAGTCGACAAAAGACGTCACCATAGCGGTGATGGCTATTTTACTGTAACACTCTCGATATACAGAAAAGTGTATTATAAAATAATGCAAGAAAATATTACTTGTTAAGGGGATTTGACTACATTTGAAAACAGTGTGGTGGAAATATGCTAAATCACGCAATATTATTTGTATTACGTGCAAGGAGGTAAACTATTTTAAAAACTTAGTCTTGTTGGGTAGCCTGACCTAATATCTAGCACTCGATTGTCTATGATGGATGATCTCAATATAGAGAAAAACAAATTCAACCCGACTGTGTACAGTCCATGTGTTTTAGTTCTCAGAGTATTTTGTTTATAATGCACATCACCTTATTAATTTCACATTATTTTATTCCTATTTAATATATTTAAAATCATATTTCGCATTATTTTTTCATGTGTACATATGTAGCTTGCGCATTTTATCTGGATAAATCTGTGTCAATGTGTAAATATTATAGCTGTATATCTCTGTGTACATGTGTACATGTGTACATCTGTATATCTCTGGGTACACGTGTATATTTCTGTGTACACGTGTACATGTGTAAATCTTTGTGTACATGTGTACATCTGTATATCTCTGTGTACATGTGTACATCTCTGTGTACACATGTACATCTGTATATCATTGTGTACATCTGTATATCTCTGTGTACATGAGTATATTTCTGTGTACATGTGTACATCTGTATATCTCTGTGTACACGTGTACATGTGTGCATCTCTGTGCACACGTGTACATGTGTATATCTCTGTGTACATCTGCAGATCTCCGTGTTGGGTGAGATGAGGCGAGACATGAACAGCCTGTACAACCCAATGACTTTAGAGGAGATTGATGGAAACTATAGCTCGGTGAGGGATTGTGTTGGTGATTGTGTGGGGGGCAATTGTGTAGGGGATTGAGTGTGTGGTGGAGTGAGTATGGGGGAAGGATTGTGTGGGAGAGTGATTGAGCACGGGAGTTATGTGGGGGAAAGATTGTGTAGAGTGTGATTGTGGGCGGGCGTTGATTGTGTGGGGAGTGATTGTGTGTGGGAAAGATTGTGTGTGGAGTGATTGTGTGTGGGTGTTGATTGTGTGTGAAGCGATTGTGTGGGGGAGTGATTGTGTGGGGGAAAGACCAGGTTGTGTATTGAGTGATTTTGTGGGAAACGATCTTGTGATGAGTAAGTGTGGCCTTTCACTTTGTGAGGAGATTGTGAGCCAGTGATTCTTTGGTCAGTCATTGATGTAAAATCCTCCCCCAACCCCCCTCCCCCAATGACGCCTCTCTCTCCCACCCCAGGCCTTCAACTGGACCCGGTACGCCAGCATCATTTTCTCACATTCCGAGATCGGCATCAAGGACGTCACAAGTCGCGAGACCATCATCAACAGATCGCCGCCATATTTCCAGCGGCTGACGGAAGTGCTGCGCACAACACCCAAAAGGTCAGGGGTCAGCTGATTAGCCGTGCTATTTTATTATCGCTTGTTTGGGGAGGGGCTGGGGGAGGGGCTGGGGGGAGGGGCTGTGTGAGGAAAGACGACTTGATAAATGATGGCCGGGTCAAGATGAATTCGCTGACTTCAGAGATGGGTTAAGTCTAAAGTAATGGATGGGGAGATGGTTGTATAGAGTCGAGTAGAGAGTAATGGATGGGGAGTTGGTAGCTTAAGATGTAGTTTATATCGGTGGATGGGTTGATGTCTATGGTTAAGTCTTAATTTATGAATGGCTTGATGGTATTCTTAAGTGCCGTCTATGGATGGGTTGATGTTGGTGGCAGTCAAAATTCCAATCCAACTTACTTTATGAATTATGAGCAGATTTTTCTTCATTTTTTCCTGCTAGTTGCCCCCCCCCCCCCTCTCCAAGCTTATACTTGACCAAAAGCTTGACCATACTGTAAAAACGGGTCTATTTGACGATCATTTATTATTTAGTTAGCTCATTTGTGTGGGTTGAGTGGTGTACGGTAAGTCTAGTGCAAGCTGAACGTTGATCTACCAAATAGGTTGAGTGGTGTACGGTAAGTCTAGTGCAAGCAGAACGTTGATCTACCAAATAGGTTGAGTGGTGTACGGTAAGTCTAGTGCAAGCAGAACGTTGATCTACCAAATAGACGGGACTGAATCCTGCAGGGTTGATGAAAATCAATACTAGAAATCCATAACTTTAATGCCCCGTGGGAGGAGGTTTTTAAAATCAGGTATTCACGATGGAAATAGTTGAGTTCATGCTAGCAATAGATGCAATTTGTGTATGTTTGAGTTAGTTAAATGTTGATGATGTGATATGATGTATACCTTAAGTCCTGCATCATGTGTACCTAATGTCCTACACTGTGTATCTAATGTCCTACACTGTGTATTTAATGTCCTACACTGAGTATCTAATGTCCTACACTGAGTATCTAATGTCCTACACTGAGCATATAATGTCCTTCACTGTGTACATCATGTCCTACATTGAGTACCTAATTTTCTACACTGTGTGCTTCTAATGTCCTGTACTGTGTGTACCGAATGTCCTGTACTATGTGTACTGAATGTACTGTATTGTGTATCTAATGCCCTTTACTGTGTGTACCAAAATTTCTTTACTGTGTACCGAATGTCATTTACTGTGTACCGAATGTCCTATGCTGTGTACCTAATGTCTTACACTGGGTACTCAATGTCCTGTACTGTGTACCTAATGTCTTACACTGGGTACTCAATGTCCTGTACTGTGTGTACTCAATGTCCTATGCTGTGTACCTAATGTCTTACACTGGGTACTCAATGTCCTGTACTGTGTACCTAATGTCTTACACTGGGTACTCAATGTCCTGTACTGTGTGTACTCAATGTCCTACAATATGCATATAATGTCCTATATTTGTACGTGGACAGGACCTTGGCCAACTTCCTGTTGTGGCGACTGATCCACGAGTACACGAAACATATGGGAGAAAAATACCTGGCGCTCAGGATGGCCCATGAAAAGGTAAGTGGGATAAGTGGGGCATATTGGGGCACTGGTGGGGCATAGTGGGGCACTGGTGTGGCATATTGGAGCATTGGTTGGGGGCTGGTAGGACAGAGTCACTGGTGGGGCACTGGTAGGGCAGAGTCACTGGTGGGACAGGGTCACTGGTGGGACAGAGTCACTGGTGGGACAGAGTCACTGGTGTGGCACTGGTAGGGCAGAGTCACTGACGGGGCAGAGTCATTGGTGGGACAGAGTCACTTGTGGGATAGAGTCACTGGTGGGGCACTGGTAGGGCAGAGTCACTGGTGGGGCACTGGTAGGGCAGAGTCACTGGTGGGGCACTGGTAGGGCAGAGTCACTGGTGGGGCACTGGTAGGGCAGAGTCATTGGTGGGACAGAGTCACTGGTGGGGCAGAGTCACTGGTAGGGCAGAGTCACTGGTGGGACAGAGTCACTGGTGGGGCAGAATCACTGGTAGGGCAGAGTCACTGGTGGGACAGAGTCACTGGTGGGACATAGTCACTTTTGTGGTAGAGTCACTGGTGGGGCACTGGTAGGAGACACTGTTGGGAGGGGGGCAATGGTGGGGGAGGAATGGTGGTGGACAATGGTGCGGGCACTGATGGGGTACTCGGTGAAGGGTCAGAATACCGTGTTTTATGGTAGTAAGGATTTGGGCAGGTCAAGTATAAAAACATAGTAGTGAAAAAAAAGTAATAAAAGGCGGGGTCTTCATCAGTAGTTTGGTTCACGTATCCCGAATAGGGTGGGGGGGGGGAAGAGAAGGTTTAGACAATATTTAGTGTACAGGAGTGATATGACTATAACCCCAAGACAGAGAACTCTTGCAGGCTATTTTAGGAGTTGCTGCCCCTGAGCCCAGGTACTCCACCTGCATTAAGCTGGTCACAGACAAGTTGAGTCTGCCCGTGGGTCGGCTCTTTGTACAGGACAACTTCGACATGGAGGCGGAGAATGTGGTGAGTAGAATGTCTGTAGGACGGAGAATGTGGTGAGTAGAATGAATGTCGTGACCCTGACTATAGGGCGGCGTGGGTGGGTGGTAGAGCGCAGGACTGCTATGTCTTGAGTATGGATCCTTAGCTTTAGTTCATGGGACGTCCCTGTGTCCACAAAGCTCTGATGGGTAGGGTAAAGTAAAAAAAAATTGTATACAGAAGAAACTCAGCTAGAAAGAAATCTATGTTAAAAGAAAATCACCTGCAATCTTGAGTGAGTTTATGGCTGAGGTTTGACATCATTTTATGGATAGGGTGGTGTCTGGCTTTTTGTGACGATGTGTGACGGTGCAGAATAGGTGGGGGGGGGGGGGGGGGCTAAACATAAAAAAGCGTGACGTGTTTCGAGGATAACATGTAGATAACAAGCACAACTAGGCAAATAAGGGGGGGCTACTCTGTAACAAAAGATGTCGATATTTACTTTATCACGATTTTTACGTGTCTTTGGAATTAGTAGCTACTCGCATGGGCACTCCGATATTTATAATAATGAACTTAAATAGTAGAAAGATGTTTAAATGTGTTTTCAAAGGGAGTTAAGCGAATAAAAAAATTGTATTATTTGTACTATCATTAATTATCTCCCCTTGATAAGAGGAAAAACATTTGAAAAATTTGGAATAAAAATAAGACGAAGTTAAAATAAATCTCATGTGTCATATGTTATTGTGCCATGTTCCATGGCATGTATTCGTCACGTCTAGACCCCAATCGTCAGACACTCACACAGATGATTCCTAGAATATTAGTTACTAAATCTTTTCTTATATCAAAAGAATATTTAAACCTGACCCCAGTCAAAAACATAAACTCTAAAACTTTACTCTAATCCTAACCCCGAATCTAAATCTTTTCTTATATTTATAACGGTTTCTTCCACTGACCTTAGCACACAGCATAATTTCTTTACCTTTACCCTAAACCAAAGCTCAATCCTTTTTTAAATAAATATAATTTTCCTTTTAGTTCACAATTTAATCTCCTTGTACCTTGTAACTTGACCTTGACCCTAACCCCCGCCCCCTCCTGTATGTGTACAGGCCCTGGACATGATCAAAGAGCTCAAGGTGTCGTTTGACGAGTTGCTGGAGTTTGTGGACTGGATGGATGAGGGCACCAAACGTGTGGCTACTGAGAAGGTGGGGAGATTATGTGGTTTTGTGATGTGGGGAGATCATGTGGTTTTGTGATGTGGGGAGATTATGTGGTTTTATAGGGGGCTTCATGTCATGTGGTGGGGAGATTATGTGGTTTTGTGATGTGGGGTTTATGTCATGTGGTTTTGTGATGTGGGGATATCATGTGGTTTTATAGGGGGCTTTATGTCATGTGGTGGGGAGATTATGTGGTTTTATAGGGGGCTTTATGTCATGTGGTGGGGAGATTATGTAGTTTTATAGGGGGCTTTATGTCATGTGGTGGGGAGATTATGTGGTTTTATAGGGGGCTTTATGTCATGTGGTGGGGAGATTATGTGGTTTTATAGGGGGCTTTATGTCATGTGGTGGGGAGATTATGTAGTTTTATAGGGGGCTTTATGTCATGTGGCGGGGAGATTATGTGGTTTTGTGATGTGGGGAGATCATGTGGTTTTATAGGGGGCTTTATGTCATGTGGTGGGGAGATCGTGTGGTTTTATAGGGGGCTTTATGTCATGTGGTGGGGAGATCGTGTGGTTTTATATGGGGCTTTATGTCATGTGGTGGGGAGATCGTGTGGTTTTATAGGGGGCTTTATGTCATGTGGTGGGGAGATCGTGTGGTTTTATAGGGGGCTTTATGTCATGTGGTGGGGAGATCGTGTGGTTTTATAGGGGGCTTTATGTCATGTGGTGGGGAGATCGTGTGGTTTTATAGGGGGCTTTATGTCATGTGGTGGGGAGATCGTGTGGTTTTATAGGGGGCTTTATGTCATGTGGTGGGGAGATCGTGTGGTTTTATAGGGGGCTTTATGTCATGTGGTGGGGAGATCGTGTGGTTTTATAGGGGGCTTTATGTCATGTGGTGGGGAAATCGTGTGGTTTTATAGGGGGCTTTATGTCATGTGGTGGGGAGATCGTGTGGTTTTATAGGGGGCTTCATGTCAAGAGAAGGTTAGGAGATCTTGCTGTTTTATACAGCAGCTTTGTTAACAGCGCATTTTTAAAAAAGGAACCGTTTTAGAAACGGTAGTGCTTATTTCGGCCAAGGGTAAAGGGAATTTGCAAAGTGCTTATATCATCTCACATCCTGCTGAGAATATATCCTTATGCGTCTCAGAAAGCGCAGTAGTTATTTCCTCTACAGGAGTTGAGAGAATATATGCACTAGTGTATCTCCTCTACAATAAGACGAGCCTGAGGAAAAACAAATGCAAGTCTATATAAAATGTAGAACCATCGCTTTAACAGCGTAATTAAGCATCAGCCGAATAGTATTATTTACTTCTTAATTAAATATTAACTACTATGAATTCCTACTGAAATTATCTGATGAAAAGTAACACATTAAGTTCACATTTGAATAAGTGTCGATACATCCTCACATAAATAACAATTCTGTCTCTATCGGTACACTACAGAATGCTTACATAGGATACAAAATTGGGTATCCAAAAGAGCTCTACAACGACACCTATATAGAGGAGATGTATATGAATGTAAGATTTTTTTTTATTTAGAAGACTGTAACTTTTATTATGTATTTTACTGGTGTAAAATAAAATATTTGTTTAATTGTCGTTATGAATTGCAGTAAAAAAAGTTATTTTACGCGTTTCAACAGTTTCACGTTTTAGAAATAAAAATATTTTAAAGTATTGTTTTTTTATAATCTCCAGCTAACGTATGACAAGAATAAGCTGTTTGAAAATTTACTGACCAACACAAAAGAAGATTTTTTCAACCTTTTCAGAAACTTGAGGAAGGAGGTGGACAAAGAAAAGTAACTTTTGTCTTTTCGTTTGTTTGTCGTATCTAGTAGTACTTGGTGGTAAAGTGAGATTTTATTTACATTCATATCGACCTTCCTCAGAATTGATAAAGTTGTTGAGTCTACTCTTGAAATAAATTCTTGGGTTATCAGCAACCACTTGTGTAATTTGGGAGAGAAGAACGTGTAGTCTAAAATAACGATTTAATTAAACCACTAATGATTTGTACAAAGTCATGTCGATATAAACCGTAAATGCTTTTTAAAAATTCAGATCGTCATTAAGATGATACATTTATAGCATCAACTAAGCTACCTTTTTGTTCAAATTTAGAATAAGTTTCTATTTTATGATTTAAACTACCTTTTTATTCTCATTTAGAAATCTGTTTGCATATTATGCAATAACTGAAAAAATAAAATTTTATTATCTTATATATTGACAGATGGGCCAAATCACCTACTATAATTAACGCACACTACAATGCCGCTCTTAATCAAATAAGTAGGTCAAACTGTTTTGTGCAGTCATAAGTCATGTTGTTATGTGCAGTCATAAATCATGTTGTTTTGGGCAGTCATAAGTCATGTTGTTTTGTGCAGTCATAAATCATGTTTTTTGCTTTGTGGAGTCCTAAGTCATGTTTTCTTGTGCAGTCATAAGTCATGTTGTTTTGTGCAATAATTTATGAAACGTATTATCAAGGCAACTATTTTAAAATATCATTTTGTACATTGAATGTCTTACTATTGACATTCAATGTAATCATGTGTTCTTAAGTTTGTGACAGCATTGAAGGCTGCCACGTCCTTTTTCATGATAACATCTTTAAACGGTTACTCCATTGTGTCCGGCTTAATGCCGTTTACTACTTGTGTAGCATACAGCTTAAAATCATGTAATAATTCACTGCTTTCGATTTTTTTTCAGTGTTTCCTGCAGCAATTTTCCAACCACCTTTTTTCAGCAAAACTTTTCCCAAGTAGGTATTTAAGTACAGGCAACTTTATTACAACTTTTCCCAAGTAGGTATTTTAGTACACGCAACTTTATTACAACTTTTTCCAAGTAGGTATTTTAGTACACGCAACTTTATTACAACTTTTTCCAAGTAGGTATTTAAGTACAGGCAACTTTATTACAACTTTTCCCAAGTAGGTATTTAAGTACAGGCAACTTTATTACAACTTTTCCCAAGTAGGTATTTTAGTACAGGCAACTTTATTACAACTTTTCCCAAGTAGGTATTTAAGTACAGGCAACTTTATTACAACTTTTTTTCAAGTACGTATTTAAGTACAGGGTACTTTATTACAACTTTTCCCAAGTAGGTATTTTAATACAGGCAACTTTATTACAACTTTTCCCTCCTGTAATATTTAATTACATACAACTTTAAACCGCGTTTCTAAACAAGGTATTTAATTGCAATCATTTTTATTACAATATTCCAATGCAGATATTTTATTACAAGCAATTTTATAAATTTCCAAAAAAGTATTTTAATACAGGCAACTTTATTACATTTCCTTAGTAAGTATTTTAATATAAGCAGATTAACTACCAAATGTGTCAAACAAAACAAAAACACAAAGTTTATTAATATTTAACGTCTTTTTAAAATCAAGCGAGGTTTTTATATGTGTTTGATTGATTCTGAATGTGAATAGAAAACATTATATTTAATCTCAGTTGACAGTCCTTGTCTTTTATATGTAGCTGTTTAAACTAAACTAGGGTCATATGTCACACATACCAATAAAGGTAACCAGCTCACACAAGAGTAACGCTTATTTCAGGTCAATGAACTTTGGAGGTATTGGTGTGGTTATAGGACACGAAATCACTCACGGCTTTGATGACAAAGGTGGGACATTAGACATTAGGAGGGGATATATTCATTTATATGTATATATATTTATATATATGTATATGTACATATATATATATATATATATATATATATATATATATATATATATATATATATATATATATATACATATGTATATAGGCACCGCTAAAAGTTAAACTTGACCAAGGTTTCTATAGCACGACAATTGTTATATGACCAAGGTTTATATATTGCGACAGTAGTTACTTGACCAAGGTTTCTATATCACAAAGTTTTACTAGACCATCCTTTATGTATTACATATGACCAAGGTTTATCATAGATTTTATAATCACGACAGGCCGTCAATTGGACAAAAATGGGAATTTAGCGGAATGGTGGACGCAGTCAGCTATAGAGAAGTTCAAGAACAAAGCTCGGTGTATTGTAGAACAATATGGGAACTTTACATTGACACAGATCAATACAAAGGTGGGTACCCAGAATAATACGGGAACTTTACATTGACACAGATCAATACAAAGGTGGGTACCCAGTACAATATGGGAACTTTACATTGACACAAAGTAGGTACCCAGAACAATATGGGAACTTTACATTGACACAGATCAATACAAAGGTGGGTACCTAGAAAAATATGGGAACTTTACATTGACACAGATCAATACAAAGGTGGGTACCCAGAATAATACGGGAACTTTACATTGACACAGATCAATACAAAGGTGGGTACCCAGTACAATATGGGAACTTTACATTGACACAAGGTGGGTACCCAGAACAATATGGGAACTTTACATTGACACAGATCAATACAAAGGTGGGTACCTAGAAAAATATGGGAACTTTACATTGACACAGATCAATACAAAGGTGGGTACCTAGAACAATATGGGAACTTTACATTGACACAAAGTGGGTACCTAGAACAATATGGGAACTTTACATTGACACAAATCAATACAAAGGTGGGTACTCAGAACAATATGGGGACTTTACATTGACACAAATCGATACAAAGGTGGGTACTCAGAACAATATGGGAACTTTACATTGACACAAATCAATACAAAGGTGGGTACCCAGAATAATACTCATTGGAAAAGTTTAGTTTTTGTAAAACAATCAACTGTCAGTCCATTTTTCTTCTCCTTTAAGCTACACTAATACTTTCTGTAACACCTGTAAGTTTAGTAACACCTGTAAGTTCTGTAACACCTGTAAGTTTTTAACACCTGTAACTTTTGTAACACCTGTAACTTTTGTAACACCTGAAAGTTGTGTAACACCTGTAAGTTGTGTAACACCTGTAAGTTCTGTAACACCTGTAAGTTCTGTAACACCTGTAAGTTTTGTAACACCTGTAAGTTCTGTAACACCTGTAAGTTCTGTAACACCTGTAAGTTCTGTAACACCTGTAAGTTCTGTAACACCTGTAAGTTCTGTAACACCTGTAAGTTCTGTAACACCTGTAAGTTTTGTAACACCTGTAAGTTTTGTAACACCTGTAAGTTTTGTAACACCTGTAAGTTCTGTAACACCTGTAAGTTCTGTAACACCCGTAAGTTCTGTAACACCTGTTAGTTCTGTAACACCTGTTAGTTCTGTAACACCTGTAAGTTCTGTAACACCTGTAAGTTTTGTAACACCTGTAAGTTTTGTAACACCTGTAAGTTCTTAACACCTGTAAGTTCTGTAACACCTGTATGTTTTGTAACACCTGTAAGTTTTGTAACACCTGTAAGTTCTGTAACACCTGTAAGTTCTGTAACACCTGTAAGTTCTGTAACACCTGTAAGTTCTGTAACACCTGTAAGTTCTGTAACACCTGTAAGTTTTGTAACACCTGTAAGTTTTGTAACATCTGTACCTTCTGTAACACCTGTAAGTTTTGTAACACCTGTAAGTTCTGTAACACCTGTAAGTTCTGTAACACCTGTAAGTTTTGTAACACCTGTAAGTTTTGTAACATCTGTACCTTCTGTAACACCTGTAATGTCTGTAACACCTGTACGTTCTGTAACACCTGTAAGTTTTCAAACACCTGTAAGTTCTGTAACACCTGTAAGTTTTGTAACATCTGTACTTTCTGTAACCCCTGTAAGTTCTGTAACACCTGTACCTTCTGTAACACCTGTAAGTTCTGTAACACCTGTGAGCTCTGTAACACCTGTACCTTCAGTAACACCTGTAAGTTCTGTAACACCTGTGAGCTCTGTAACACCTGTACCTTCTGTAACACCTGTTTATTCTCTCATCTATCCCCAGCTGAATGGCATCTTGACTCAGGGAGAAAATATCGCCGACAATGGCGGCCTCAAGCAAGCCTTTAGGGTCAGTCTGCTCGAGGTTACACAACACAACTTAGTGAAAAACAAATACATTCTCATTTCATCAAGGCTAGTTAAGAACACAATGGTATCCATATATACCTATTTCAAGATACACATGTTATAGAAATACTAATCTATCTATCTTTCCGTTTTATAAAGCCTCCATTCCATCCAATCCAACTTCCAATCCAACATCCAATATATTATACAATAAATCATCCAATCCATCATACAATCCATCATACACTCCATCATACAATCCATCATACAATCCATCATACAATCCATCATACAATCCATCATACAATCCATCATACAATCCATCATACACTCCATCATACAATCCATCATACAATCCATCATAAAATCCATAATACAATCCATCATACTATACATCATACAATACATCACACAATCCATCATACAATACATCATCCACTCTATCCCAACCATTCAAACTTCATAAATCGTGATTGTATACCTCCACCATACAGGCCTACAGGAACTGGGTACAAATGAGAGGTAAAGAAGAAGACTTGCTACCTGGTCTAAACTTCACACACAATCAGTTGTTCTTCATTAACTTTGCTCAGGTAATTCTCGTTTACGTAATGGGAACATTTTTGTCTACACATATAGATCTATATTTATGTATGCATATATATATATATATATATATATATATATATATATATATATATATATATATATATATATATATATAATGAGAGAGTGCTTGTGTGGTCTAGGCATGTACCTAGGCCCACCTACCAAAAGTCAAGAATTTTTTTTTGGAAGAAATATACAATATATATTACATTTTTTTGTTTCTTTACCTATTGAAAAGAATACATTTTATTTTCGAAAAATAAAATGTCAATAAGCCACCAATAGACGGTCGATGGACATGAAATTATCATGTATAAATTAACATGTATAGTAAAGTCTAGTCAAATTTTTGGCCTTATCATTGTGTGCTGATACTCTCTGTCAAAAGGTTCAGATATAACCCGTGTTTTATATTTTACCACTGTGTTTAACCCGTGCTCTATGCTCCACAGCTGTGGTGTACTTTAAGGACGAAGGAATACGCTTTAGCCAGCATCAGAACAGGTTCACACAGCCCTGGGGAGTTCAGGTAACTCTTACTTTAATACATGATTGTTAACCCCTTGATGTCTCGAGTTTGGTCCCCTGGCAGATGAGGTTGGTTAGCTAAGGGCTATCTATGAAACAAAACGTCAATATCAAACAAATTGTTCTTGATAGAACAAAAGCTACAGAAGCACATACGGAAAGAGAAACAGGCTGAGGTCAGAGTCATCTGGCTATGTATGGCTCATAACCTCCTTCAATAAAGCACCTCAGAACGAAGAAGATTGGCGTTGTATGGGGAGGTAACTCCGCTTTTAGTTCCAGCTATATGTTGACAAATATGTAGGCCCTACCTGTTATATGTTAGCTCCTGCTATAAATTGAGATTATTTCTTTACATTAGCTAAGAGTAGACAACTTACATTTATAACAGATGTTAATCCTTAGTAATAGCCACTGTTGGGTTGGCGCCTTTACAGAGGCGAAGAAACACTTAAATAACGTAAAGAGCATCCGTTCTAGCAAGAATTATAAAGTAAACAACATTTTAAATCCACTAAAACAACCGAAGTTAAGCTTCTAAATACAGAACTCATGAAATAGTGTGTTTAAAAGTATTTCTTCTAAAGTGTAAACTAGAGTTAACTGCTCTTTATTTCTGTTCTTGTAGAGTTATCGGCAGTGCCCAGAACTCGAGGGAATTCTCTGAGGCTTTTAAATGTCCGCTCAACTCCAACATGAACCCTGAGACTAAGTGTGCAGTCTGGTAGTCCGGCATCCGGCATCCGGCAGGAGTTTTCTGGAAGATCTTGGCAGTGTTTGTTTTTTGTAGGGGGTTTTAATGAGGGTGTTACGTTAGTTTGTTGGTAGTTCTTAATGAGTGAAGATTGAATTAACAGTTTAAGCTTAAAGGTACGTGTTTGACTTAACGTTGCATTTGGTCGTCTGATGTGGTTCCTTGATACAAACGCTTCATCGCCGTGGGTTAAACACATTGACTGCTGGTAGTTCGACCTATCCGTTTGACGGCTGCTAGGCAGACGTTCTGAAAGTTTGACGGCTGCTAGGCAGACGTTCTGAAAGTTTGACGGCTGCTAGGCAGACGTTCTGAAAGTTTGCCGGCTGCTAGTCGCACGTTCTGAAAGTTTGACGGCTGCAAGGCAGACGTTCTGAAAGTTTGCCGGCTGCTAGGCAGACGTTCTGAAAGTTTGACGGCTGCTAGGCAGACGTTCTGAAAGTTTGACTGCTGGTGGTTGTACTCTACTTCCCAAAGTCTGTCCGCCTCTAGCTTGACTTAGCATGGCTTGACTGCTGCTAATTAAATTTTTGGCACACAATAAAATCAACTGATCCACTATTAATAATGACCGAATTAACCTATGTTTCCCTTCACAAGCCAACATCAAGATGACCTACAGGTCCGTATCAAAAGATATTTGTTTTAATTAAAGTTCAATGTTACTAATTATCAGAAACACCAAGATGACCATCAATAATTTTGAATTGCAATTAACACATGACATAATCTATTGAGAAATTAATAGATAGACAGATAAAGTGTTTGATATAAGCCGCACAGCGTGAATGGTTTTAAAATGGAAGTGATTTTCGATGCTTTGTAATTTACTTTAGAAATAAATACATGATTCATTATATAATTAAGCATTTGCTTTAAAAAGTAAAGCTTTAATTTTGTTTAAATATGACTGAAAATATACATTTTAACATTTAGAGTATTTTAGGAATATAGTTGATCAAAATGCATTAAAAATAGAGCAATATTTTAAAATATCTTAATTTTTAGAAATAACCTGTTTTAACTTTTAACAAAAATATTTAGAACTGATTTTAACTGTGTAGAATGTAAATATTTGATAGCTGGGGTTTGTTTTTGTAACTGCTTTAATCTGGACACGATATTTCTCATTGAGAAATTTTAATGTGTTTACAGTATCCTGCTACATTGTTTCCGCTTTTTCATATTTTTGTATTGTTTTTGTAACATATTGGGGTCATGTTGGTTTTGTGGTTTTGTGTATTTTTTAAAAATATCGTTCGAGGCTACACGTTTTTATGAACGTGCTGTATGTATACACATTTTTAATCCTTCAATACATAACATGCAAATTTCTAATGTAACTCATATTTTTTCAACATGTTTCTTTTTAAATATAATATTGTATTTGTATACAATAGTTATGTATATAGATTTAGTTTTTAGTATTAGAAAGGAACTTTTATTTTTAATTTTTTTATTTGTACAGTTAATTTTCCAAGTAAAATAATAACAGTTAAAATAATATTGAGATAAAAAATAATATCTCATTTTCTCCCGAATTAGGCCGAAATTTTAATTTTACCTTTTTGAGTTTCAGAATTATAAAACTGCCTTTAAAATTTAAAGAGTTATTTCCACTTTAAACGCAACATTTGTTATGCTATTATATAATTGCACCGTTTTGAAAAAAAAGTATTTGTCCATACATTAAAATTTTGGTGCCCCCGAAACATTATTTACACGATGTACGAATGATTACTATTTTCATTCCCAGCTAATTTTTATTACACATATGACATACATTATAGTCACCTACATAGGCTATGTGACATAATGTCACCTCCATATGTGAAGTCACCTACGCATATAACATACACAGTCATCTACATAGGCTACGTTACATAATGTCACCTACAAATGTGACAAACGCAGTCACCTACACTTATGACATACGTAGTCACCTACAAATATGACATACAGCCACCTACATACCTGACATAATGTCACCTACACATATGACATGTGACATACACAGCCACACACACAAGACATACACAGTCTCCTAAATAAGTGACATGACACTTACACATGTAACCTACATTAAAATTACATTTTATAAAAATAAAAAATTCGTCAAATAAAAAAAAACATGATTACAATATTTTTTTTTTGTACTGTATACCTCAAATTTGGTTGTATTCAAGCAGTTCAATGACGCTGCTTATTTGTTACTATAAATAATTTTCAACTACGTTGTTATATCATGCTTTTACACATTTCTTTCCATTTACTGAATATTGTGTACAATATTATTGTAAAAATTGTGTGTGTTGGTGACCATCCGACTGTTAAAAACTTCTCTGTTTGCAGGTTTTGGTGGAACATTCAGTGTTTGATACTGTTTTTTTACGAACTGACCCACAAAAGCCATACCACTAAAACACAATTTATAGTTTTACAAATACATTTTCTATTATTAATACGAATTTATTTCTTACCTCAGTACCAAACTTATCATAAATATAAACTGTACTACAAATGCTAATTTTAATGTCAATACAAATTACATTACAACACAAACTACTAGATATACAATTTCTAACAGAAATATACAAATTCTAACATTACAATACAATTTATCAGAAATACAAATTCTAACATTACAACACAAACTAACACTAATATAAATTCTAACATTACAATACATTCTACTAGTAATACAAATTCCAACATTACAACAAAAACTAACACTAATATAAATTCTAACATTACAATACATTCTCCCAGTAATACAAATTCTAACATTACAACTCATGATTACATATTACAGTACTTTCAATACAATGAAAGTCTTCTGTAAAAACCACATCTATCCTACATTCTCTACATAATTGTGTGATCAATAAAATACGCTAAAGGTTTAAATATTTTATGTAAAATATGTTTTGATACCTGATTTTATATATATATATATATATATATATATATATATATATATATATATATATATATATATATATATATATATATATATATATATACATATATATATATACATATACATACATAATTATATATATATATATATATATATATATATATATATATATATATATATATATATATACATATATATATATACATATACATACATAATTATATATATATATATATATATATATTTATATATATATATATATATATATATATATATATATACATATATATATATATATACATATACATACATAATTATATATATATATATATATATATATATATATATATATATATAAGTATTTTTAAGGGGTTTGTGCACATATGAAATAACACAAGATTGGGGGGGGGGCTAGATTGGGTTGATAATGCAGGAAGTGTTAATGGCTGAATGCTGTAGGATACAAAGATTTTTTAATTCAATTTTTTTCTTTCTGATTTCTTACAACTGCATGTCCCAGAGACTTGTCGTTGTACAAAGGATAATTTTTAACATTATTTACATTGCATCATCTAGAACATTTTTTTCCAAACAATGTATGATCCGTTGTTATGACATTGTTGCTGGGTGCTCGGTGGTTTCTGCATCAGGAATATGCGGTAGTGGTATATTAGACTGATTTGGTAAGTGGGTTGGAAATATCCTATTTGTGTGTTGTAGAATATGTGCACAATCCCTTACTTTCTTTAATACTCGTTTTCGTTTATTGAACTCCGCGAAGGTTTGCGGCTCCGCGAAGGTTGTTTCATATTTTACTAAGTGTTTTGGTTCTTTTTTAATTTTATAAAGTGAAATTGGAAATATGATGTAAGATTTATTTGAGGTTTATTCTTTAATTTTTTACCATCTAGTGTATAACTGTAGCTTTTTTATTGATAAAACTCATATTAATCTTATTCAAATCGAATGGACGATTTGATACGATTATATGTTTTTTTTTCTTTTGTAACTTTCTTTTCAGTTTTGGCATAACTATTTTAAAAATAATTAATAAAAATGTGTAATTGTCTTGAATTTGGGACATTGTACTAAATCTTATTTGGTTTGTTTAAAAAAATAAAGTTTTCAAAATTTTCAATTTATCGATTAAATTTCAGATTTCAGTTTGACACGTTAGTTCTCTGATTTTAGTTATAGGTGTTATTTGTGTCTCGTTTTGAATTTTGTTACTGTGTTTTCATTTCTCTTTTTGTTTATTGTTATTGTGTTTTATATTTAACCTTTCTTGTTATTGTGTTTGATATTTCTCTTTTTGTTTTTCTAACTGTGTTTTATATCTCTTTTTGCTTATTGTTATTGTGTTATATATTTCACTTTTTGTTTATTGTTATTGTGTTTTTTATTTCTGTTTTTTTTGTGATTGTGTTTTTTATTTTTATTTTTGTTTTTTGTTTTATATTTGTTTTTGTGTTTTATATTAATCTCATGTTTTACATTTAACTTTTTAAAATTGTGTTTTATATTTTTCTTTTGTTTTTTTTGTTGTTATTTTGTATTATATTAATCTTTTTTTTTAATTGTGTTTTTTATTTTTATTTTTTTTTGTTATTGTCTTTTATATTTAATTTTTAAAAATTGTGTTTTATATTTCATTTTTTTTTAATATTCATTTTTTATTGGGTTTTTGTTTATTACTCCTTTTGTTTGTTAATGTTTTTTTATTGTTCTTGTTGTTTTTGTTATTATGTTTTATATATATCTTTTTGTTTTGTGCTATTGTGTTCAATATTTAACTTTTTGTTATTGTTTTTTATATTTCTTTTTTTTATTTTTTGTTATTGTTTTATAATAATCTTTTTGTTTTTTGTTATTGTGTTTAATATTTTCCTTTTTTTCGTTATTGTGTTTTATATTTCTCTTTTTGTTTTGTTATAGTGTTTATAATTCACTTGTTTTTTTGTAGTTGCACTTCTCTCTTATTTCATGATGTTTTTTGATTATCTCTTTGTTCAATTCGACATTTTAATTAATTGAAACGAGGAGGTTTATTCGTGAAATATTTTAGACGAATCGTATCTCTTACAATCAAAAGTTAGATTAATGATTTGAAGCTATCTCTGGCCAGTTCAGACCTTGGTTATGTCCAAACTAAAATATTAGTTGGTACTCTTATTGTTGTTTAGTGTCCGAGATTTAATTAGCTTAATTGGTGAACATTTGCTTTAAAATGATAATAATAATGATGTGAATTTAAACAGTTATTATAATTCAGAAATAAGAATCGTCTTCAAATGTCATGATAAGTATCATAAACATGGAGACACAACACAAATATGAAAACAAGAAGTTAAAACAGCAAGCTATAATTGACAGTCAAACAAAAATAACTGTTTGTGTGTTAAGAATTGATAAAACTACATTAGCAACAACGCTGC